AAAAGCCGATTTTTGTTGTAGTGTTCTCTTAAGTTTCTCGATTGGGAGGTACCACGATGAGGTGTTGTGCGATGTCGTTCCTACGTATATTGGGCAGGCCATGGCAACATGCTAGGAAGGTGAAACATGATGAATGCAACAATTGGTATAGCTTTACTAAGGATGGGAAGCCTAGTATTCTTGCGTCGTTGATACCACAGCAGGCTTATGAATATCGACTCAAATTACAAAGTGAGCGAGAGAAAGGAAATAAAGACTAGAAAAAGGAGAGCAAGAGAGAAGAAAATAAGGTGGCTGAGAGTGAAGAAAAAAGAGTAGAGCTACAGGAGAGAAAAGAAAAGAGAGTAAAAATAAGAGTGGAGAGGTGGCAAAAATGAGGAGGAGCCACGAGAGACAAAAGAATGTGAGTTGTCAGATAGAGAAGAAAAATCAGAAGTGAGCTTACATGAAAAAAATAATGAGAGTGAGAGGGGTTTAGTGAGAACTAACAACCCTTTCCCCATTTTTGATTATTCTCTTTTGCAGGAATTCAAGGAATTACTCTATATAGGAATAATTCGTGGTGAGTCATACATTGAGAATCCAACTGGAGCAATGCAAATGGAGGCTTTGAAGAGTAGGGATGAAAAGGTGCTCAGTGGAGTTATGGTAACATATCAAAACTTTACACCTAGGACAGAGAATGGGCTGGCGTGTAGGAATAGTTTTCCATATGGGACATGTACTTTTGCAAATGCGTATGCATCCAATCATTCTGTGAGTATAATAAGTCCACTGTCCAATACATTTATGGAAAATGCATTGCTTGTTTATGATATGCACTTACTACACTATGAAATCCTAGCATGTCACACGGAGCTAATCACATATGCTAGACAATTAGATTGCATTGTTAGAAGTGATAGGCTAGGAAGCTTGAATTCCTATCCTGATGTACTTACCTCTCTTAGACTAGATTTATTGCATATGTTAGGATTCAGTTCGATGTCTACTATTCCCATTCCATGCATCAATTTAACAGGTGGTCCTGATCTACTAACACTATTCAATTTAATATTTTCATCTATTGGTGTTAGTATTGGGTTTTGTGAGAAACATGAGATCCTTCATGGTACACATCAACGTTGCCAAATGGGTCATTCGGGATAAAAATTGTTTGATCCAGGCACTGTTGCATGGATAAACATGCGTATGAGGCGGAAACCAATTCAAAGGAGGTCCAGGCTACATCCTAGAGGAGATGGACCTTTCCATATCCTTTCTATGAATGAGAATGAAGGCTACAACCTACTTTTGTTAGGTAAGTTTGTCATAGTTAATTTTTTCGAGGTTGCTAATGTTGCTTCGTTTGGTGCAGGATCGGATTCGAGGTCGAATCATTTCAAAGAGAGAGGGGATGATGTGATCCGGACCAAGCTTCAAAGGGTCGAAGATTCGGCGTGCATTGAGAAGAAGTCAAGGTTGAGTTCGGGGTCGAGTCGAAGTTCAAATCAAGCCAAAGAAGCTACACAATCAAGTGATAGGACCACAAAGTTCACCGGGATGAAGTTAACTAGCTTATGGTCAAGTTCCATGTTGGAGTCGAGGGCCAGGAAGAATTGGAAGACAATCGACTCAAGAAAACAAAGTGGAGGTTAAAATGTGACACTATGCGACCACATAGTGTGACTGCATGGTGTCCATCAGCGAGCAACCAAGCAGAATACATGTGGTCTATCCTATGCGGTCGCATATGCCAAAATTTGGGCAATAATTTCCAAATTTTGCAAGTTACCTAATTCTTGGCTTTGTTTCATCTTGTTCGTGGGTTCCCGAGATATATTCTTGGCTGGGTTCGCATCACACAAGCTCCTGTAAGTAGGCTCCACCCATAAGTCCATCCGAAACTAGATGTAAATGTGTTCCACAAATTTAGGTTTATATGTATAATATTTTATTGTATAAATACGTGTTTAAAAATGAATATGAAAATTAAAGAGTTTTGTTTTGAAGAGTTTAATTAAATCTTAATTTATACTGAGCAATAGAAGATGTTTTCAAAAGTTGAGTGGTCAAAGTTCGACTGTTCAGTGGCCAAAATTCGACCACTTCAAAGTTTAACAGTGTGACGGGACACCACGTGTGTATTGCGTTTGCCACATTATCAATTTTGTTAGAGGTTTGAGTTATGTCGGTGAGTAACGTACAATATTTTAAACTTTAGTGAGCAATCGAAGACGTAGATATAAGTTCAGATAAATCATTTTCTCCGAAGTTATAGAGACAAAAAGTAGGAAGAAAAAAAGAGAAAGAGGGACTATATTGTCAATAAGGGAGGAGTTCAGACTTAGCCAATCATAGGTTGACACATGTCCCCCTTATTGACCATGTCAACCATATCTTGTACGTGTAGCGATTTTCTTTCGCAATTATACACATTGAGATTCGATAAGGGCATCTTCAAAATACTTTTTAAATATAGGATATTCTCTATTCTAAAGAACCAATCATAAAAATTATAATTCAAGAGACTCTTTAAATTAAAATTTTAATTTAGATAGTGAGTATGACTCTTCAAATTTAGAGAGCCAAA